ATCTTGTTGTTTTTGTCTACATTCGGAAATACTATGGCCGTATTGTCGGCAATAATTACATCATTTTTTGAAAGATTGTTTGCCTTTAAAATTTGGGTTTTTTTCATAAATATTTAGTATTTCAGTGATTTTTTCAACTAGGTCTGTATCTGATTCCTGTATGTTATTGATATGTGTAGTGTTTGTTTCAATTCGATTAACATATTGTAGTTTTAGATTTACTGTTTCCTCAAGTTTCATTGTGATTTCCGCTTGCTCTATTTTGTCTACTAGTTTTCGAAAATCTAAATCCGGCTCTCGAATTGAAGAAGGATGAGATGCTCTCTTTTTTATTGCTATTTTCCTTAATTGAGGTGTTAAGGTCATCATTAAAATTTCTGTCATTTTTGTGTTTTTATAGTCATGTGTATTTAATGAATATGCTTTTCGAACTAGTGTTTCGGTACGTACTGCTAATTGTTTGATGGTTTCATTTGGTAATCTGCGAATTTCTTTACATAAAACTCTTTGGTGTTGTTTATTTCTTTCGGAGTCAAACATTTTTGAAAATTCTTGTGTAAATTTTCCAGAATGATTTTATTTCAATAGGTAATACTGAAAACCATTTTTGAGCTGCGCCATCTAAGGTTGTTTGTATCAACGCTGTGCGTCGATGTATCCAATTTTGATGCAGTGGTGTATTAATTGGTTCAGGTCCTATATTTAAAATTAAATTTGCTGTTACTGCATTTAAATAATCTTCTACAGAATATTCAGGGTCTGTTCCTGTGAATACCATTAGTGGTTTATTTGATGTTATTGATGATCCACCCATAAGGTATGGATTCATTGTCATCTGTAATGATTCTGCGGCATTTGGCATTTCCGAAAAATTTGAAAGTTGATTTTTTGTTATTTCGTGTTGTTGAAGGTAATATGGGAGTGGTATTTCATTTTGCATTTGAGTTGGTTGATACGAGTGCATAGTCATTGGGTTTTGTGGTTGTATTGGTTGAAAAGATTGTGTGTTAAATGGATTTTGTATATGCTTTTGTTGTGGATGTTGTACATCTGTTGGGTTTTGTGGGTAAGTTTTCATATTTCGAGATGGTTGAGATTGTCGTGGTCTTTGTGTGCGATATTCTCTAGTATATGGTGCAAAAATATCTGTTTGGTGATAATCATCTTCATCGGATGATAAATAGTTTGTATTAAATGGTGTATGTTGGTTATTTTTATTTTGTTGGAAGAATGGGTAATTTTCAGTATGATCCTGTGGAGGATGTGAATTAGTTCGAAAATTTACTGAGTTGGTTGTTGTCATTGGGTTATCCCAATAGTGAGAACATGCATGATTATGATTAGTTTTTTGTGGGGGATAGTTTGTTTTTGATGAATGTGCATAATTATAATTGTGTTCTGCAAAAGTGTTTCTTGTGAACGTTCTTCGTGGTTTTGATGGTACTGTCATAGGTCTGTATGTTTGATAATCCATATGTGAATATTTTGGAGCAACCGAAGGTTTAACGGTTGATTGTAAGGTTACTTGTGCCAGTGAATTATTTGTATTTCTTGGTGTTGTTAAATTTGGATGTATTGGTGAAATACTTTGTTGTGTAGTTGTTGTTGTTTGGACAATTTCTTCATTTATGAAGTGTGATGGTGTTTGAATATCTTGTTGTGTAAGATTTCTAGTTCCATTAAGGTTTTCATTGTGTATGACGGTCGAATTTAAACTGTTATTTCGTGTATCAGGTAAAAATGTATTGTAGTTTGATGGTGTTGCATCAATGGTTAGTGGTACTACTTTTACATAATCTCTGTGGTAAGATATTGTACTTATTGCTTGACTTGAGATTGATTGTGGGATATTTATAAACGCAGGATGAGACCATTCAGTGTCCCAAACGTAGTCTGACTGTTCTGTAATGGCAGTATCATCATTTGAATTTTGAGGTCAGAAAATTTTTCTTGCTTGTGAAATTAAGTCTATATTATGTGTGAAATAATCTATTATAAACCATGCCAAAATTTTTTGTAAGTCATGTTTTGTGTGTTGTGAAACATCGTCTTTAGTGAAATTTTCTTTGACTATATGTAGAAAAATTGAAAATAATGTGATTTCCTGTCGTACTTTTGTATGTTTGGATGTTTCAGTTGGTGAGATACTTTGAAATTCTGTTTTTTTTAATAAAAAAATATAGGTATATATTATTGCAAAAACTTCGTTAGTGAATATGGAGTTTGCTCTTTGTGAATTATGATATTGTATGCTTTTGATATATTCTAAGAATACTTTTGAAAACTCTAATTCAAGATCGTCTGTTTGAATTACATATTTACGATGATTCGTATTTGGTGTGCTGAATTCTATGGTGTAGATTCCATATTGTTGTGTTAAATTACATATATCTTTCAGATAATGATAATGTTCAATAATTTGTCTTTTGATGTTTACATCTGGCAATTCTGCTTTGCATGGGCTGATTCCGGGTTCAAACAAATTTACGAGTAAATTTTTGCAAAAATGATGTTGCCCTCTATTATCGGGTGCATCTATGAGGAAGGGGTAAACCTCTTCGTCATCTGGACTATCGTCACTTTGAGTGTGGCTCATTTTTTCGTTTAATGACTGTTAATATATAACTATCGATGTGTCTAATTGGATGATTCCAATTATACAAGTGTACTGGTTTGTGTTTATATTGCTTTTTTATTCTTCTTTTTCCTCTTTTTGATGAATTTGAAGTTGTTTCTGTATCGGAAAAATATATTTGATCGTGAATGGGACAATTTTTATCAATCGATTCTTTTAATTTGTAGAGTTCATCTAAATTGCTAGCTTCTGATTCTGAAAAAGCGTTTCTATTTTTTGAAAATCTTTTCCGTGTGATTTGTCTTTGTTTGTTTATTATTTTTCTTTTTATTGTCAGTCGTTTTGTTCTAATGTATCCAACTGTTTGTGTATGAGGTGTGATTACAAGATCGTAGTTTTGGTTATCTATCTCACAGTTGTGTAAAACATTGATTGTTTATTTCCTAGATTTTTGAATGACATAAAGGTTTAGGATGAGGAATGCAAAAAGTTGTTAGGTGATTTCTATTTTCTTAGACTGTTAGTCCTTACGATTTTTTGGTTAGCTTAACCTGGGTCTTTTTGTTCAGGGTTGGAGAGAAAAGTATATCGATTCCGAAGAATGATTTTGTACTTTCTCGTGGCTAGTCTAAGCTAAGGTGTTAACTTACTTAATCTTACTTAGGGGTATTGATTGTGTTCAAGGGTTGGAGAATAGTAAATCGATCCACAAGGTTCAGGTATAATTAGAACGAAGTAGTTCGTTAGATACTATTTTAAACTTACTAAGTCTAATATTTATCCTGGGTCTGGTAAGAGGAGGGTTCAAGTGAAGGATAAATAACCGAAGTTCTTCACTGTTTATCTTAATTTGAATGGTTAGTTTTATTTAAAAAATTTCTATTAATCTTGGGTCTTTTGGAAGGGTTGGATAGTGAATCGACGTTTGAGGTCGTTAGACACTTGCTAAGTGGGTGGGGGAGAACAAAATTGTTCTTTTTGATCCAAGGATAGGCCTTGATGATCAGGTTTTTAATTTAGTGAATTAGAAAATTTATTAAGATCCAAGGATAAGCCTTGATGATCTGATTTTAAAATTAAGTGAATTTAAGTTTAAAATGGTTTAAATTTATTTTAAAAAAAGATTTAGTTTTTTAATGATATTAGTGAGCTTATGATTGCTGTTATGTTTAGGTGATGAAGCTGGGACAACAGATGATTTTATGATTACTAACAATTTATTGTCATGCTACTAATTTTTATTTTCATTTTCAATAAATATTTTTCAAACATGTTTATATAAGACTGCAGAAATTAAGAAAACGATCTGAGATCTTTTTATCAATCGTTATTGTATATTAATAATTTTGTTTAGCGCTTGAAATGATCATGAAGATTGACTTCAAAATTTTATGTTTGCAAATGAAAATCTAAATTCATTGCTAATAAGATTCTAAATATAAAAGTTTGTGTTGGCTTTTGCCGTACAATCATAAAACTATATGGTAAGTTTCTACTTTGTCGTATGTCGTCTCTTGTTCGAGGTCTTCTTCCAATTCCGGGTAGTTCTGTTATCGTTCGGAATATCGGCTCTGATCTATTGAGTCGTAGAGACATTTCAATTAAATTATTATCGTAAAACATTTTTAAAATGTTTTGTCTAAATTCTAATCTATTTTTGGTTAAATCTAAGCTATTAAGGTCTTATTCGAGACTTATGGTCGCACCAGATGAACTATGTCCGATGTGGTTAACTCATAGAGTAATTTCGGATAGGGTACACCGTCTGCTCGTCACGCTATCTTATTTTCGGCCGGATAGATTCGTGCAACTTCTTAGTCTAATACCGATCCTAATCTTACTCTTATACTTTCTAGTCTCAGGGTGTTTAACTCGTCTCTGCTAGGCTCAGTAGATCTAGGGTATACTGGTTTGTTGCGGCTGCTGAAGTTCTCTTGGAGAGACAACTAATTTCTAAGTTAAATTCAAATCTCTCTGGTGCTGAAATTACAAGTAATTTCAGCACTTACAAATAAGTGGGTTGTTAGTTAGATGGATCATGATTGGTTAATATTAAATACTTTACAGTGGTAAAATATCTAATTTATCCAATCATAAAATATAGTTTAGATCAGGTTCCAACTGATTCTCAACCGCGAAGCAGTAGCACTTGCTCAATTTCAATTTTCAAAATTCGATGTTGCAATCAATCAATTGATAATACTCTTATACCTATTAAGAGTGACTTTTTCGTAATGAAAAAATCAGTTTTTTAAATTAAAAAGAATTGAGGGCATCGAGGTGAAATATCAACTTACAGCCATTCCAGCGTAATTTAATTAGAAAAAAAAATTTTGTTTTTGTTGACCATGGCGAAAACAACGGTACTCAGAACAGTGCGGGCTTGTCACACAGAAATCAATTATTCAGCAATTTGTTTCCTGACCTGAAATTTTTTCGACAATCGTCGAGAAGGCAGCCCCACATCGAATGTAGCCTCTTTGTTAAACCTGAAGCAATTATTTTGACAAAATGATATCTATATTCAGTCTAATAATAGAAATCAGCTGATTTCTTAAAACACTGAAAATTTGATTTTCGATTTATTGATTTTTTGGTTGGAATTTATGGACAAAACTGGAACTGAGCAAAGATATACCACAAAGCAGTTGTGTTGAAAAAATTTTTAAAAAAAATTGCAAAAAGTATTGCAGAAAACCAAAAAAATAACAGCAAAAATAAAAAACAAAAATAGCAGATTTGAAATGAACATTTCGAAGTTCTCATGGTTTTGACATTTCTCATTTGAAGATTCAAATTTTTATTATTTAATTACTTTATAATTGTAATACTTTATCACGTTTTATTTCAAACTGGAGTGGTAAGGAAAGACAACTATAAATTTTCTTAAAGTAAGTTCATTTTATTGTATTGGTAAATTTACCCCACATGGTAAATTTAAGTTTCCGAACAAGCCTACTCACTGTGCAATTGTTCCTCCAAACTTTGAAAACATCACCTCTAGTTGGTTTTTATCTGCAAATCTGAGCATCATCGTTGCCATAAGATCACTGAAGCACTAGAAGAAACAACTCAATCAAAACCCACAAAAAATCAACTGAAAGAACATTTGGTTACAGCGCATAATAGAGGGTTTAGGGATCGGGATGCCCCCTTTTCCTCGCAGGGACTCTAATACCCTAATCACTTAAAGGACTTAGATATTATTTTAGGACATTCATTTTTGGCCGGCTGACCCTAAACATTTGTTTCAAAAGGCGCCTTGATCAACATTATATGCTGACTTAGAGGGGCGAATGAGAAGCAAAAGAAAATTTGCCGACCTTAAAAAACATCGACCAAATTTAAACAATTTTTGTAACCCCCACCCTCCTCGAGAAAATCCTAGCTCCGCCACTTTGACCTTATCGTTACAATATTTGTGAGCGACAATTGATTTTAAATCAGAATGTCATTTTTTAGACGAAAACCCATTTCACATTCTGTTTGTTGAACGAAGCTCTTGCTCGCAAAACTCAAGAACGGTTTCTACCGCCTGGAAACTTTCAAGTAGTCTCGCGTCCTCATACACTGTCATTGCCATGCCAGGAGACCAAACACGCAATCTGACGTTCTCAAAAATAATGTTTGCATAGCAATAGGGCTAGGGGAATACCCTTTTTGACAGGATTCTTACATTTGCTTATTCAAAAATTACAAATTACGCCAATATTTTAAACTGGATTTTTTAGAGGAAACTGAGTCCGCTAAGGTTTACTAAGATAGAAAGATTACGTAGAATTCACTAGGATTCCTCCGCAGTTGAAAATCCGATTGCCACTTAATTGTTTCTTGCATCTTGACCATAAATCGCAGATGATAAAAACAGGTGTGCAGTATTTGAAAAACTGGAAGCGTTACGGATTACCATCAAAATTTTCAAACAATTTGGTTTGCCGAAAACATCTGTCTTTCTTGATACCTTCATATCTTGATTAAAATATAATCGGTGCCTTTTTAGAGTATTTGGATTGAACAACTGACAGAGGTGACAAAACTTGATGGTTCATTCACATTTAACTTTTTTCATCTTTTACCTGTTCCTTTTTACTATTTAAAAGAGATCACCGATTTTCTACTTCTTTTGATTTAAAAAAAGCTCCGAACTAGTTGTTCCAATAAGTTTGCAAAATTTACCTGAACTTGCCTTAAGTTACCTTTATTTTTTAAGGTAAAAATTTACCTGAAGTAATTTCAGGAAGACTTGAGGTAAATTTTACCTTTTATGACTTAAGGTAACTTTACTTCAACTTTTTTTAGATTGTGGGACGAGTAGTCGTTCTTTTTCCATAAATATTTCTGTTGCTTACCTTGTGTGTTTTCAACATGGCTATTTTTGTCTTCACTTGGCAAGAGATCAGTTGCTTCTGTGTCCCGTTGGCGCAGACAGTAATGTTTTTTGCAGGAGGCTCCCTCTGCCCTCCGATTGACCAATCGGTTGAATATGATTGGTTAAAAAAACTGGGAAACCAAGCGGGTTTGAGGGCCAAATTGTTGGAAATCTGATAACTGCGAAAGCCTATATTCATTATTATAGTGACAGACAGAAAGAACAGCGTCATCAGAAGCAGTCGCGATTGCATCGTCGTGGGTTTAATTTTCCCTAAATTAATATCAACACAAACAAATATCTTCAAAAACCTATCTTAAAAAGGTTCGAAATGTTCTCGATGAACAACGCTTCTAAAATAACAGAAACCATGCCTGCCTTTTCAAGGTTCCGGACTAGGTCCCACCAGAGTCAACCAAGACGGATTAAACTTACAATCAAAGTTGTTTGGATGAAGTTTCGCATTTAAAAAGCCAGCTAAAAAACTATGAACTGAATGAAAATCGGGTTACTACAGAAAAAATTTACGAGCTGAGTTATCGGAAAATCGACCATGAGAAGGGAGAAGAGGTGTTTTAACGGACAATGCAATACAAGACAATCAAATAAAATACCAGATGGAGCTGGGATTTTTGTTTAGATTTTTTGGTTTATGAGAACAACACTTTTTTTTGAATAAAACGTATGCTCAATTGATGTTTTCTCGGCAACTCTGCTTTAAGAAATAGAATAATGTGCTAATGAGGTTTAAATGCTCCGACTCGCGAAGAAAGTGCAGAATATTTTTGCTTGGTGTCGTTTATTATTTAGTCAGAGTTTTCGACCTATAACTAAGTGTTTTTGACTTTGTCTAGCTTTGATTGTTTTTCCTAAAGTTACGGGGGTTTGAATTTTGCTAAATTGGCCATTTTGGGATAATTAACGTGCGATATTTTGCGGCCTTGTAAGATATATTGCGGGCTTAAGTAAGAGGCAAACTATTATGTTTCAAATTTAATTGAGGCTAGCAATTTCATCCTATTAACACAATAAGAGACGCTAAACACATCCTTAGTATTTTACATAGCGTGTGGGAGGATAAAATGAGGAAAGACTGGACTGAAGTGCAGTCGGAACACTCAATGCTTCGCCCTGATTTAAGAGCACTCTCATCACGAGGCCAAACTGTGCATTTTGTGAATTGTAGGCCGATTCCGCAACAGGCAAAATTCAGATTTGTCGCGGAATCCGCAACATTGCTATTTTTTTAAATCTTCTTTGCTGTTTTGGATTCCAGGGACAAATAGCTAAAACACTGTATTGCTCAAAATTGCTACAAAAACAGACAGTTTTGCGGAATCCGCAATAAAAGGCGTGGAATCCGGAATCAAATTCTGGAATCAATGAACAAATAATAACATATGTTTTTGGTAAACTTAAACTGTCGCGGAATCCGCAATTGTAAGTTGAATCTGCTTACATTTGCGGAATCCGGAACAACTACTTATATTCGCTCGTTGCGGATTCCGCGTCAAAATCATTGTGCCGACAAATTTTACGTTACAGGTATTAGAGAGGAATAATGTGCAAAAACTTGTGTTTGCCGCTTAAGTTTTTGTTACGAATTGTTGCCACTTACAAATTGTCGCCTGTTTCGAATTCACGAATTCTTGCCTCAGGGGAAATAACATGTAAGGATCAATTAAGTTGTTTTCATATGCCGCTGATAGTTACTTTATGTTTTATGCTCCTTGAAATCAAAACTGGAAAAGTATTCGCTAAAATATGATAGAAAAGAATTGTAACCTAAACAAATTGTGGAAACTACAGCACAAGATACCAAGTTAATGAGGAATGTTATTGCAAAACAAAATTGCTACAAGAAAATATTTTAACCGAATACGTTTTAGCAAAAAAATATTCGAAATCAGTAAATGTTTATGATATATCATTGACAAAATATTTGGTTGTCTCTATCAACACTGGCTGATAATCGTGCTAAAACTTGCGAATAGTAACCCTCTGAAGACTGGAAATTTTTTTTCTTTTTTTGCCTGGATATTGTATGCGAAAAAGTCGCCAGTTAGATGAACTGGTGACCTGTCTTGCCTTAAAAAGTGGACAGCGCGATGACAGTTTTTTGCAATCTTTAGATAAGTTACCCTGATAAGTTACCCTGACTTTTTGTATGACTCGCGAAGAAAGTGCAGAATATTTTTGCTTGGTGTCGTTTATTATTTAGTCAGAGTTTTCGACCTATAACTAAGTGTTTTTGACTTTGTCTAGCTTTGATTGTTTTTCCTAAAGTTACGGGGGTTTGAATTTTGCTAAATTGGCCATTTTGGGATAATTAACGTGCGATATTTTGCGGCCTTATAAGATATATTGCGGGCTTAAGTAAGAGGCAAACTATTATGTTTCAAATTTAATTGAGGCTAGCAATTTCATCCTATTAACACAATAAGAGACGCTAAACACATCCTTAGTATTTTACATAGCGTGTGGGAGGATAAAATGAGGAAAGACTGGACTGAAGTGCAGTCGGAACACTCAATGCTTCGCCCTGATTTAAGAGCACTCTCATCACGAGGCCAAACTGTGCATTTTGTGAATTGTAGGCCGATTCCGCAACAGGCAAAATTCAGATTTGTCGCGGAATCCGCAACATTGCTATTTTTTAAAATCTTCTTTGCTGTTTTGGATTCCAGGGACAAATAGCTAAAACACTGTATTGCTCAAAATTGCTACAAAAACAGACAGTTTTGCGGAATCCGCAATAAAAGGCGTGGAATCCGGAATCAAATTCTGGAATCAATGAACAAATAATAACATATGTTTTTGGTAAACTTAAACTGTCGCGGAATCCGCAATTGTAAGTTGAATCTGCTTACATTTGCGGAATCCGGAACAACTACTTATATTCGCTCGTTGGGGATTCCGCGTCAAAATCATTGTGCCGACAAATTTTACGTTACAGGTATTAGAGAGGAATAATGTGCAAAAACTTGTGTTTGCCGCTTAAGTTTTTGTTACGAATTGTTGCCACTTACAAATTGTCGCCTGTTTCGAATTCACGAATTCTTGCCTCAGGGGAAATAACATGTAAGGATCAATTAAGTTGTTTTCATATGCCGCTGATAGTTACTTTATGTTTTATGCTCCTTGAAATCAAAACTGGAAAAGTATTCGCTAAAATATGATAGAAAAGAATTGTAACCTAAACAAATTGTGGAAACTACAGCACAAGATACCAAGTTAATGAGGAATGTTATTGCAAAACAAAATTGCTACAAGAAAATATTTTAACCGAATACGTTTTAGCAAAAAAATATTCGAAATCAGTAAATGTTTATGATATATCATTGACAAAATATTTGGTTGTCTCTATCAACACTGGCTGATAATCGTGCTAAAACTTGCGAATAGTAACCCTCTGAAGACTGGAAATTTTTCTTCTTTTTTTGCCTGGATATTGTATGCGAAAAAGTCGCCAGTTAGATGAACTGGTGACCTGTCTTGCCTTAAAAAGTGGACAGCGCGATGACAGTTTTTTGCAATCTTTAGATAAGTTACCCTGATAAGTTACCCTGACTTTTTGTATGACTGTTTGTTTAAAAAAATCACAAATCACAAATTTGCAAAAATGAAGTTCAGCAACAGCATGAGGAAAATAAAAAAATGATGTCTGAAGTCCAGATTGCAGGTGCACTATGTCTCAATCAAAAAGTTGAAAAACATCATCGTGACCCTTAAAAGTTATTGTTTTTCTCACTCGCTCAGTCGATCAAGTTGAAACTTTTCGTTTTTTATCAAATACTCTCCTTCTAAAAAAATTGAGCACATAGTGATCGAGGTAAGTTTCTGATGCTTTTTCTTAACTTTATATATCTGAACACATAAGTATTTTATATCTAAAAACACAAACTCTGGTTTTTTTTCAATCCTTTTCACTTATTTCCTCGACCAGTTTTATTTATCTGTGTTCATATAAATATCATTTAAACTCTATGACTAGATTAACTATGGTTAAAATTAGTGATAACAGTTAGCTCGAAACTTATGCTTAAACTTAGATACTAAGAAAAACAAAAGTTTCCATCAACCATCAAGAGCAATTGTTACTTTTGTTTAAAAAAAATTGTTGTGTTTTTAACAGAGAATTACCCCTTAAAAACTATATATATTTTTCGAAAATCAAAACATTTAGCTGAAAAAATTTCTAAGTTTTCGGTAGTGAGTTTCCGTTGTTCCGTTTCCAACTTTAGAAATATTTAAGACAGATGTGGTCTATCTTTGAGACGCGCAATCTAATCTAATTGACCGCTTTTTCGCCAGAGACACCCAGATAAAGTCAAGAAAATCAATATTTTCCCTATCGCTAAAGAGTCTACGACAGTTTTCTGTTAAAATTGACACAGAAATTTCTAACTCTTTGTTTTTTATAGATTTTCAGTATCAAATAAAAGGAAACGTTCTCCTACGAAGCCGGCAATTTTAAGCAAACAATTTCGGCAAACTAAATATCTACTTTTCGAACTAAAACAGTTTAACCAATATTGATCCATTAAATTGTTTGTGGTCTTATTGTTTCATCAGAAAATTCCAAAAACGCTCTTAAAACAAAAAAAACTTTCGGTTTTTTTATGAACAAGGATTTAGGAAATCCTGTATATAAACTAATTGTACACTAAGCAATTGATAAATTAATTTCAACCATCATACTAATAAGCAAAGCTATGCGAAACTCAGACTCAACCTTAATTTCTTATAGTGCAATCGCGCTTTTTTATCGTTTCCACCATTTCCGAGTTTTATCCTCTAACTTAACCAATTTTTTCCAAGGCTGATTGTCTCATCAGGGAAAAACTTTTTTGACCCAAAACAGGGAAGGAACTGTTTAAACCCAAAAAAAAGAAATTAATTAGTGTTTCTTTTGTAACTAATTTTTTAACCGACTTCTTATTGGGAACATAATTTTAGCGAACTTATGTTAATTTTAAGATGAAATTACAAAAAAAATACTTTAAATAAGTTTTGAAAAGTTTGAACAAAAACTAGCCAAAAATTTGGACAAAAAAAGCCCAGTTTAGATAAATAAACTTCCAAGAAAGTGCTTTATACCAATTTTCCCTCAAAGTAAACCCAATTAAACTAGACTTTTTTAACGTAAAAACATTTACCAAAAATTGGTCATAATAAGCTCAATTATCATAACCTATAAACTTTTAATTCATTTTGATTTGAACCATTTTTAGTCAAAACAAATTAAAATTAGAGACGAAAAGCAAAATAAA